CTGAGGAGGGTGAAAATGGCCACCCCTGTCCCTCGGAGGCCCAATGGAAGCTGGAAATGGATTGCTTCCGGACTTCTGGTTGGCCCCATCTTTCACCCTCCCCAGGCTCCAGAGGCTTTCCTGAAGCCTGGGGGGAGGGGTTGAAAACGGCTTCCTCCAGCCCTCTGGAAGGCTGAAAATCAGCTGGCCAGAGCATGCATGTACACCGGAACTGACGGCTTGCGTGCCGGCAAATATGGCTCCGTGTGCCACCTGTGGCCATGCGTGGGATAGGTTCAACTTCACAGCATTAAGGCATCAGGCTAAAAACCAGGAATTCATGAGTTCTAGTCCCATCTTAGGCATGAAGCCAATTGGGTGATTTTAGTCCTGTCACACTGTCATCCCTAGGAAGCATCCATCTATCTTGAAAGTTGCCAAGGTTGAGAAATAACAGTCCCACTGCAATAAAGACGGAGAGCTGGTTCAACTGCAGTTTTTCCTCCCTCCCTTACTTCTATTACATCCTCTTCAGGTTCCATGGCTTCAAGTGCTGTCCGGGCACTTTCTGTTAAGTAATGTCCCATGGCTGCCTTCAGGACCCCTCGGTTGGGGTACGTCATCTTGATGGTTCACGGTGAGCTGCTGCCCTTGGGGGACATAGCTTCCAACTGCCACAGCAACCCTTCTAGAACATCCCTAGAAGTTGTTAGCAACGAAGGTTCTGCTAGTTTGGTCCTAGTTGCTACCCTCACATTCTCTGTGGAGCTTTCAACGTCTCACAGGAAGGAATCTGATGCTGGAATCCCATTCTGCCAGGTGATCTTATGCTGCATAACATGGAAGCAAAACTGTTGTGTGGACACAGTAATCATTATACAGGGCAGCTACTAAATGATACGAGATACATAGATCAGGATGAGTCAGGTATTTCTCGAGTTTATTATTATTGTCAACAATGAACCCCTTTGTTGCCTTGGATTGTCTCGTGATCTTATAATGCCGAATGTAGGGACAAATTACCGGGAATCAGTGACGTGCGGTGAGAATTATGGTTGGTGAGGCAAGAGTGCAGCGGCAGCAAGAAGCAACGTCCCCACCGCTGTGTCCAACAGGCCAGGCGGCTTGCGTTTATGGCGGACATAAATACATGTAGCCTGGCCTGTTGGACACAACGGGGGGGGAGGGGGCGAGGCGGCAGCTGGCAAAGAAAGGGGAGAGGAGGAGGAGGAAAGGGAGAGGGGAGCAGGACGGGGCTCCCGGGGGGGGGGGAAGAGGGCTGCCCCTCTCTTCTCAAACAAACTCTCTCTCAAATTGAGAGTTTGTTTGAGTGAAGTTAAGAAAGAAACACATGCAAACACACAAATTACTCACAAAAAAATTACAAATTAAATTACAATTATTTTGAATTCCCCCCCTCCCTCCGTCCGATCCACATACCTTTTCCAGCTGTGGATTTCGACTCTCCTCTTGTCCGCCCACCATGATGAAAATGTAAAAAATTAAATAAAAAAAGGAACTTAGGCACAATTTGCTGCTCCCAGATCAGGAGGCGGAGAACCACGTGCCTCCTTTGCATAAGGAATTTTTCNTATCCCCAATATAGGTAAAGGTTCCCCTTGCACATATGTGCTAGTTGTTCCTGACTCTAGGGGGCAATGCTCATCTTTGTTTCAAAGCCAAAGAGCTAGCGCTGTCCGAAGATGTCTCCGTGGTCATGTGGCCGGCCTGACTAAACACCAAAGGCGCACGGAATGCTGTTACCTTTCCACCAAGGTGGTCCCTATTTTTCTACTTGCATTTTTATGTGCTTTCGAACTAGGTTGGCAGAAGCTGGGACAAGTAATGGGAGCTCACTCCATTAAGCAGCACTAGGGATTCGAACCTCTGAACTGCCTACCTTTCTGATCTACAAGCTCAGTGTCTTAGCCACTGAGCCACCGCGTCCCTATCCCCAGTATAATACATCCTAAATCTACAATTTTATGGATCAGAGATGTCCAGATTCTACTGACTGTGCATGATATCAAATACAATCTTAAATGCATTGCTGTCATCCATAGCAAACCACTGCTTTCCTTTCTTTCCATGGCGTTCATTTAATGACTGTCACAAAAAGGTCATAAAATCAGGTCAGTCGTGTGGGTGTCATGAATTACGACATCATGGGTTACAATTATGATGGGCAGGCTCCATTGCCGCACAACTCAAGGACTAGCCATAATGCACAAAGGTAGTTATTTGGAATCCAGGGCGAAAACATTTTTCTGCAGAACTGAAAAGTACCACTGTAAATTGCTAGTGAAACATTTTGCACATGTCCCCGTATGGGGTGAAAGCTCTCTATAGAAAACAGGTCCATTAAAAGAGAAAACTAATATGAATTATTCCTTCTCCTTGTCATGCTGATTTTCTGTCTGCAGAGTTTTACACAGTGATGGACAAAGTGCATGCAGAATCCTCTTTTTTACGTCGAGTGTTCCCATTCGCATTTGATTTTGGTGATTGTGTCTTCAAAATGCAAAAAGAAACTGCAAGATGACTCTCACCAGAATACATCAGCAAGTTCGATTCTGTTTCCTTAAAGAGATCAAAAATAGAAAACCTTTAAACCTTTATATGAGTAAAAAAAATTGGATGTATGGATTTCTCTCCCATTCCAGGTGTTTATTCTTTCTAGCTTTCTTATAGTGACTGTCGTTATAATTCTTTCTGATTCCTCATGTGTTCATCCTTACATAGGATTATCAAAGATTTTTGGCCTCTTCCTTCCTATGATCACTTGATTTTACATTTTCTTTTACTTCTTCTGGAGATCCATTTAGGCAATAACTAAAAGATCACTCCTCTGACAAAGTGGTTTCTGATAGTAGATTGTTGTCGCAAGGCTTTGGGATCTGCTGTGTTTGACTGGCTTGGCTGCAGCCCACCTCAGACTTGATAGTAACAGCTAGTTCTAACTAGTGATGCTCTATTTAGAAGGAATCCATCTGGGCTCCATTAGCTAGATAACAATTTGTCTTCAATCCCATGCTAAATAATTAACTTCGCTATCGTTGGTCTTTGGGACAGGCTGATCCAAGTTTACAAGCTGAGCTTGGGCATTGTGACATCATGGGGGGAGGGGGTTTGCCTAGAGGCCTTGCAAGGTTAGTTCAGGGCAGCTGGACAGAGACTCCATGAAAGCAGGACATGACCAAGGAGGAGGGGCAGGGCTCGGAACAGCTTCCTGCACCAATATGCATCCCAGGCCCCGGGGACAAGATCTTACAGGATTTTCAGATCCTGGTGCAGAAGGTGGGGGGGAGGCCCGAGGTCCTTCTCATTGGGGAGACCCTGGAAGGCAGGGACATCCATAAGATGATGGCCTCTTTTGTTAAGGACTTGTTCTCTTCCTCCTGTCACTCGGTCCACCCTGCTGATGCTTTGAAAGAGCCTTGTGTCACCTGCCCTTTTGGTGGCAAGCAATGCCAGCTCATCTTCTTTCTGTGCCGTGCCTCCTGCATAAAGGGCAAGGAGACCGAACTGCGGAAAGTTTTGCAACAGGTGAAGAAGTACGTCCAGAAATCCCCCTGCGCCTTAGTGGGAATCATTATGGAACCCAAGAGAGGGGAGGCCGAGGAAGCCCGTGCCCACCTGCTTCGACTGTTGCGGGGCATCTTCCCAAAGGCTTCACCACAGAAACGGGGCAAACAGCCGGCTGCCAAAGGAAATCAGGATCAGGCAGGACCATTGGAATTGGAAGATGTGGAGATAGAAGCAGAGGTCTATGTACCAGGTTATCCCCGGGGTAACCTGGCCATCATGAAGGCAGCCTGTCGTGCTTCGGAAGCCCTGAGCAGAGGTGGGAGACTAGACTAGACTAAGAATGGGCTACTTTTTTTCTCAGTGGGTGGGTATGGGCATGCTTTTATTTTTGGTCTCCTAATGCAGGGGTCCCTAGCCCCTGGTCCGTGAACCAGCACTGGTCTGTGACATTGTTGTGACCCACCAGCAGCCACAACAGAGCTTGTAGCAGATTCAGACAGTGAGGAGGTTGGGGAGGCACATGGGCCAGTCCTGGAATCTGGGGAAGGCTCTGATGATCTCTGTGTCAGAGGCAGAGACGGGGCCAGGGCCGTATGCCGGTTATCAGAGGCAGACATCATTGAGGCAGATGAACAGCTGGAGCCTGTGCCCAGTGTGCGCATGCGCAGAGTTGCCAGAAGACAGGAACAACTAAAGAACAGGGGTCGACTTGGGAGTAAGGCCACATGTGGATGGTGAATGGCCCCTCCCAGAGGAAATAAAAGAGGAGCCAAAGGGGAGTGGAGTTTACAGGAGACAATTGGTTCCATTAATTGATTCCTGAATCTCCGAGACTCCTTGCCAGGTTTTGCAGATATCAGCCTGGCAGCTCTCTATGTCAGATAAGGTCTGTGACTGTAAATCCTCCTTTGAAAGACTTTGCCAGCTGTGAATGAGCAGAATTCGCAGCAAATTAATAAAAGGGTTTTTTGCCAAGACAAGGAGTTTGTCTCATGCTCTTGGGAAACCTCGGTCAGAACAGGCATGCCAGAAACCAGGCTGTGCAAACAAGTGAAGCCCCATCCGCAGGATGCAGGCAGCACACGAAACCACGCCCCCTCCTATCCGCGAAAAACCTCTTTACACGGAGCCGGTCCTTGGTGCCCAAAAGGTTGGAGGCCGCTGTCCTAGTGCTTCAAGAGATAGGACAGTCTCCTCGCTTTAAATTAAGATTGTCTATCAGCAATCTAACTCATGTATTCTACTTGTTGCTATTTTTAAAGCATGCATAATTTTCGGTGGTTAGCCACAAAGTATGAATGATGTGATCTGGGATGGTCCCGGGGAACCACAGCGATCCATGGCCATAGCATATGCAGCAAGGGGGAATTTTAACTGGCATCTCAGCTGTATGAGGCCTGGCAAGAATTGTTTGCAGTCTTTTAGTTTGGAAACGCTGTTAACAGCTTTGACGGCTCTTTTGGACTAAGAGTAATAGGATAAGACATAATGCAATTTCTTTGTTTTGTCCTAGCAAGGTGTGTGAATCCAGCATATGCAGCTTGTAAAATCTGATCTATGCTTTCATCATATATGTGAACCAAACTGATAAGTCTTGTCCAACAAACCCTACCCTGTTTCTGCGAAAATAAGACCTCCCCGTACAATAAGACCAATCAGGCTTTTGAGTGCATGCGCTAAAATAAGCCCTCCCCACTAAATATTGCAACATAGCAGCAGCCATGAGGTGACCACACTTGCTGCCTCCTGCACCTCAAAAATAATAAGACCTTCCCAAAAATAAGACCAAATGCTTATTTTTTTTTGTGGGGGGGGGGTCAAAAGAAAATAAGATCCTGTCTTATTTTCGGGGAAACACGGTAGTGTGATATGAACTATATTTGTGTATGCATATGTGTGCACTTAAAAAGTGACCTTGCTGATCCTTAGGGTTGCACAGATGAACTTGTAAACATCTTGGTGCTGTTTATTCAAAATCAGAAAAAGTTTGGAAGGATTTTCAGCAGGTGTACTGTATGATAAGCCAAAGCCTCAGTTGATAGAAATAGATGCAATTTCCCTTCATTGGCAAAATGGATACATTGCCTAATTTGGA